TTTTACTATTTTACTACTTTGCTATTTTACTATTTTACTATTTTACTACTTTGCTATTTTACTACTTTACTATATTTACTATTTTATTACTTTACTATTTTTACTATTTTACTATTTTGCTATTTTACTATTTTACTACTTTACTATATTTACTATTTTACTACTTTACTATTTTTACTATTTTACTACATTGCTATTTTACTATTTTACTACTTTACTATATTTACTATTTTATTACTTTACTATTTTTACTATTTTACTACTTTGCTATTTTACTATTTTACTACTTTGCTATTTTACTATTTCACTATTTTACTATTTCACTATTTTACTACTTTACTATATTTACTTACTGTTTTACTATTTTTATTATTTTACTTTTTTGCTATGTTACTATTTTGCTATTTGACTGCTATACTATTTTTACTATTTTACTTCTTTGCTATTTCACTATTTTACAATTTGACTCCTTTACTATTTTACTATTTTGCTATTTTACTACTTTACTATTTTACTACTTTGCTATTTTACTATTTTGCTATTTGATTATTATACTATTTTACTATGTGGATTAGGAAAGTTCTGTCTAACTAAAAATCACTGTTACTACTGAGACAAAAAATGAGAAAAGTGTCTGACCTGAAAAGTATTTTACTACTGACACCAAAAATTACAAAATTTTAGAAATTTTTACTAGAATTCAAAAAATTAAAAACGACCAGTCTGACGAAAACTGCTTTTTACTACTGAGAAAGTATACGAATTAGAAAATTACTGTCTGACTAAAACTCACTGTTACTACTGAGAAAAATACAGATATTCGAAAACGTTGTGTCTGACCAAAAAAGCATTTTACTACTGACTAAAAAAATTACAAGATTTTAGAAACTTTGAATAAAATGCAACCAGTCTGACGAAAACTAACCTTTACTACTGATACAATCAAAATAAAAAATAAAAAAAAAATTTTTTTAATAAAAGTATCGTTTGACTAAAATACACTTTTACCACTTATACCTTAATTCCATTAAAAATTTTATAACTAAAGCGAAATTAAGTTAGTGATTGTGAGTAGTAGAAGTAAGTTTTAGTCAGTCCGATAAATTTTTTTTCTGTAAATTATGATGTTTTAATTGATAAGCATAAATTAAATATTAATAAATTAATCGTCATTAATTAAACACACATATACATATATAGATGTGTGGAAAAAAAGTGATAAATGAATTGTTTTTGACAAGTTCTCTTATTAGAATATTTTCCATTTCTATAACAGGGGCACATAATTATCAATCGCGTCGAGTAAAGTATTCTAGAAAAGTCTTGAAATGCAGAGGATTGCAATTAGCATTTCTTTACTTTTGCGCCGAGAACTTTTCAGTTAAATGAATTTACTAGGTTATGCGCTGTGCAATAAGAAGAAGGGAAAATACATTTTCAAATTACTTTTTTTTCTTGATTATATATTGAATAAAAGGCGAGTTGAATAATAGAATTGCAATACTTTTTTAATTAACTACGAATATCATATATATATTTTTTTATATTGATTTAAATATTATATACCCATGGTAATGCCTCAGGGATAACAATATGATTCATATTATCTGATTCAAAAGAATTTAATGAGGAGTAGTAATAATAATACAGTTATAATAAAAATGTTAAACAAAAAAAAACAGAAAATAAAATAATTAAAAATTTTATTTTATATATTTAAAATAAAAATTTATTTAAAAAAACTTAATAAATGTAAACTATTATTCTGATTTAAAATATAAGATATATTAAGAAAAAACATAAACTTTTTGAAATCGAAGTATTTTGAAAAAGAAAAGCAAACGAAAATACGTTCTTGTTGAATGTGATTTTAAATGATTTAATTTCCATTATTTTATGGTGACCTGTAAACTTTTATTGTCACTGAAGGCTTGTACAGAGCGTGACCACGTTTTACGAATTCCTTTAAAGGGGCTTAAGGTCTTTAAGCCCTGGGGATTTTAAGCTTCGTCAAATTCCCATTTCTTTCAGAAATTCTATAAAGTTCGTATTATATATTTTATTCCCCCTCCCCCTTTGACAAAAAAAGGAATAAAAAATATTCCTTCTCTAATCCATGCAATTTACATATAGAAAATATTAAAACTTTTATTTTTTTTTATTATATATTATTTATTTTTAATTATTTAATAATAAAATAATATAATAATACAAAATAATACAAAATTTACAATAGTATAATAAATTTTCATTTCAAAATGTAATTGCGTTTTTTTTTTCTATATTATTGAAAAAAAAGTGTAAATATATTTTGATGTTCTGATGCGGTATTGAAAAAAAGTATTTCGTGCATATTGAAAAGTTTCGTTTGCCAATGAATCTGCAAAAAAGGACGATGTAGATTAAATATTTGCTCCTCTTAACAAGCCTATCACCCACGATTTTTTTTTTAAATCTATTCCAAAAAAACGTTTTGACATCCATTTCACGAGAACTGTCGAGCGACTGACAAAATTCAATTATACGATCTCTCTATGTATCAAAAGGGTTTTTGATGATCAATTACATACGTTGTGTTGTTCTTTTTTTTATTTTCATTTCTTTTACCCTCTCTCTCTCTTGAAGATTCGAATTTTTTTTTTTTTTTTTATAAGATCAATTAAAATTATTTTTTTTTCTATTTAATTTCAGATTGATTTTATCAATTAATTTGACTGTATTTTATATCTGACTGTAAAAAACATATAAATAATTGAAAATACAAAAAAAAATTTTAATTAAAAATAATAAATAAGTAAAATATAAAACAAATTAAATTACTTAAATAAATAATAATATAAATAATATAATAAATTAATAAATTAATAAATTAATTTATTAAATCCCAACCAAAAATTTCAGTATTATACCAGAGTTGACTACTGGCGCAATACTGGTTCAGTATTGGCTGCCGAGACTGGGCAGTCTGTACTAAACCAGTATTGATATTTTCATTGTATCAGTTCTGTTGCAGTACCTCCCTCCCAGTACTGGAAAACCAGTACTGTGCCGATATTGAGCCAGTACTGACTAAAATAGATTTTCTTTTTGATTAATACTAGTTTACAAAAAGTGCTAGAGTGAGCATAATGAATCTTTTTGTTTAAATATTTTGTTTATAAAAATTTTTTCACCTTGATTTTATTCTTCAAAATTAAAATGTATTTTATTTTGCTTTTCTGTGGGTAAAATTATTTAAACAAAAAGTTTCCTGAGATCAATTCCAAAATATTTTGCAAGATTTTCTTATTGTTTTCAGACATGCAATAAACCAAAAAAATTTTTAAACAATCAAACTAAAAATAAATAAATTTGTTTATAAATGATTAATATTTTTTAAAATAAAAATTTAAACAAATTTTCTTGAGAACTTTTATTTTCTTAAAAAAGTTTTTCAAAAATTCATTTTAATGGAAATATATATGTGAATAAAAATAGATATTATACTTTTGAAAAAAACTTAAATTTAAAAATTTTTACCCGAAAATTTATAAACCTACAAAAAATTACGTATACTTTTTTTCTCAAAACTTTGGTTTTGTAATAAACATATTTTTATATTTATTTTTTGATTCTTTTAAATAATAATTTGCAATATATATATATATATATATATATTATAATAAGAAATAAAAATTCTTGGTGTTTTCGATTTTATATAATAAAATGTTAATTAGTTAATTGCCCGCGTAGAAATGGAACCATGGGTAAAATCATAAAAACCATGGGCGAAATCGATTGCCAAGGTAAATACGATTAGACCCATGGGTTTAAACCTTGGCAAAAATCTTACAAATCATTGCTCATGTCCGTTTCCCATGGTACAATTTTCCATGGGAAATTTTTTTTTTTAGTTTTACAGATTTTTAACCATTGCTGAAATCTTGGAAACCTTGGAAATTTTTTTTTAATTTTTACTGATTTTGGACCATTGCTAAAATCTTGAAAACCATGGAAAAAAGTTTTATAATTTTTTTTGACTTTAAACCATTGCTAAAATCTTGCGAACCATTTTTCTATTTTACGGATTTTGGAGCATGGTTAAAAACTTGCGAACCATTGGGAATTTTTTAAAATTAATTTTTCATATTTTGCATGATTTTTGTAATGGTCAAAAATCCGTAAATTAAACAAAATAATTTTCCCATGGTTCGCAAGTTTTTAGCCATTGTCCAAAATCCGTAAAAAAGAAAAAATAATTTTTCCCATGGTTCGCAAGATTTATGCAATGATCCAAAATCCATAAAATTAAAAAATTGTTTCCCATGGTTCGTAAGTTTTTAGCCATGGTCTAAAATTCGTAAAATTAAAAAATTAATTTTCCCATGGTTTCCAAGATTTTAGGAATGGTTAAAAATCCGTAAAATTAAAAAAAATTTCCTATGGGAAATTGTACCATGGGAAACGGACATAAGCAATAGTTTTTGAAATTTTTGCCACGGTTTAAACCATGGGTCTAATCGTTTTTTCCTTGGCAATCGATTTCGTCCATGGTTTTTATGATTTTACCCATAGTTTCATTTCCACGCGGGTGACTAATTTAATTAATATTTAATTTGTGTTGGGTTACTAAAAATTTCAGACACTTTTTCCTAACTATACCAAAAAAGTTTTACCTGGAGTGAAACTTATCTCTGTTACAGTTAAAGCTTTATTTTCGTAAACAATAAATTACAAAACTGCCAGTACTTGGACAGTACTGAACCAGCAGTGGTTACCAGTACTGGTGCCAACTCTGGTAACCAATACTGGTAAAATTTTATCATCCCAAAGTTACGCCAACTCTGGTGCCAATACTGGGTGCCATTACTGCGCCATTATTTGTCAGTACTGCGCCAGTACTGCGCCATTAGTAAATTTTTGATTGGGATAATTAAAAATATATAAAAATATTTTTAGTTATATAAAAATTATATAAAAAAAAATTTTTTCAATAAAGGATTAAAATTGTTTTTTTTCAGTTTTTGGGACATTCCAAGTCCATGGTGGCAAGCAACGACAGTCACTATTGGTATTGGAGTAGCCATTGCTGTGATTGGAGCGCTTACGCTTTTGGCAGCAGCATCCTCTTTTCTTCCACATGTTCTTAAGACTCCGAAGCATACTCGGGCTCTTGGATCTCTTCAGCTTTTATCTGGTGAGTACCCGCTTTAGCCATTAAAGTAGCTCTCATTCACTCTTTAGAAAACACACGACATATCACACTTTAGAAAATAGAAAAGCTTTTAACAAAGGACAGCAGTTATCGATTAAAAATATTGCTTCCTTTTTGCCGTCAAATTAAAAAGCTTCCAAAAAAAAAAAGAATTTCCACTCTTATTGGAAAAAAAGTGAAATACAACTAAAAAACAGCCAATCCATTTTTTTACGACAAAACTTAATAGACAATTTTTTTTTATTCCGAAAAAATATCCATTTACACAGGGAAAAAAAGAAAAAGTAAGTTTTACTACTTTTATAGTAAAACGGGAACTGTCCGAAGTTTCTGCGCATCTCTGGCAAATTTTATTCCAAAAATAGTAAAATTTACTCCAGAAATAGTAAAAATTACTACGGAACAGTAAAATTTACTACAAAAATAGTAAATTTTACTATTTTTGGAGTAAAAGTTGCCAGAGTTGCGCAGAAACTTCGGACGCAGTTCCCGTTCTACTATGAAAGTAGTAAAAATTACTTTTTCTTTTTTTCCGTACAAAAAAAAGTTTTATTTCAAGTTAATTGCAATAAAAGAAATGAAAATTTTTTTTTTAAAAACAATTTCAATAATTAAGAAATATCTCTATTCTTTATATATATATTATAATTTTTTAAAGAACAAGAAACATTAATAACCCTCTTGAAAATAAATAGATTTACTTAAACTTTTAACATTATTAAAAGCGAATATAACCGAGTTACGTCGAAACCTTGAGTTTAATCACTGGATAATGGTCCCAAGGGTTTCATTCTGAATCCTCCTTCATTACAGAAAACTCACTTTTGAAATATATATATATATATATATATATATATAAAATTCATGATTTCAAATTTAATTTTCACGTGAAAAGTTTTTCCATATTTTTAAACTAAATCTACTTGTCGAAATACGTTAAAGTTTTGCAATCAACTTTCATCTTTTAATACATATATATACATAAATTTAAGTTTTATAATTTAAAACGATAAAATGATAGAAAAAAAAGTATATATCATTAAAGAAGCTGATCTTCTGATAAATGTCACTCAATTCGTAATTCAAGTGTAATATGACAATTTTCTAAATTGAAGATTCCAACTACTTTGCAAAATCGTTTCGTTTCTTAATGGTTTCTTTAAAAGTCAGATATATATATATATATAGAAGCGTAAGAGCCAAGGCACTGAATTCGTAATCACAAATTTTCTTTCAATGTTCCTCCTTTTGATAATTTAAAAAAACTTTCTTAAAAGTTATTTTTTTATAAAAAGAACATCTTGATTGAACATTGTTCATTCCTCTCGATATTTTAAAATAATGTAAACATTTTTATAATTTAAAATAATACAATATATTATTATTATTTTTTGTTACTATTTTATTATTATTATTTTATTATAATTTTTTTATCATTATTTTATTATTATTATTATTATTATTATTATTATTATTATTATTAAATAATAATTTCTCTAAATTAGTATATTAATGCGGCGATGTTGACATGTGATGTGTTACCTAATTATCTAAAGGGCTTTTGCCCGTATGTAATTTAGATAAATAAATAAATTATTAATTACTTTGTTTATTTGAAAAAATTATAATTATTAATTCTTTTAATAACAAATTATTATTATTTATTAAATTTTTTTAATATTTATTAACAAATTATTATTCTTCTAAATAAATTCTCTTCAGGAAGATTTTCTGGATTAGATATTTTATTTTACATAAATTATGTTATCGTCATACACGACGTTTCGATGCCAACGTTGGCATCCTCTTCAGGTGATTAATTAATATTTATTCTAATTATTTAAACCTATATTTTATTATTTAAATGGGAGACATGTATCTTGCAGGATGCATGCTCCTTTTTATTTAAATTTTACATTTTCACGGAGTGTTAAACAATCGACTCTGGTGACATGAGAGATACAAAATAGGAAGTATTCTTATTCTTCTATTATTGTAAGATCTTTTTAAATAAAAAAAAGATGTTTTTGATACTTTTTTAAAAATGGAAAAGTTGCAATTAAATTTGTGTAGCTTTTGTACATATCGCATTCATTTTTACTGAAGAAAAAAAATTTGTAAATAATTTAGTAATAATTAATTAATTTATTTAATTAATATACGGGAATAAAAATAGTGTAATAATAATAATAATAATAATAATAATAATTATAGCAGAAAAAAACTCAACGAAAGAAATATTTAGTCAGTAAAATTATTTTTAAAAATTTCTTTTCCATGTAAGTTGTATATTCATTCATGAAAAAGAGATTTTTTTTCTCAATTCAAGAGATTATTAATTAAAAGAAGACTTAATTTTCCTCCAACTAATTAAAATTCTTCTTTTATATTTAAAAATTATTTCTCTAAAATTAATAAATAATTCCTCAATATCAAATAATTTTTGTGACAGGAAAGAGATTTTTCATTCACATTTTATTTTTCTTATGTGCCTACATATATATTGAATTAAAAAGTTTCATTTAATATATAATTTAAAAAAAAATGAAGATAATAGGTATAAGAAATATGCCAGTTAATTAAAAAAAATTTATATACTTTATAGCAAGTTATAATATATTTTTAATTGGAAGAGTTTATGAAAGTTTTTTTAAAAAAATATATTTTCAAATTAAATTGACGTCAGTAAATAAAAAAAGAAACAATGAAATAATAATAAAAAAATAATAAAATAATAAGAAATAATAAGAAATAATAAAAAAATAAAATAATAAAAACAATTAATACACAGGAAAAACAAAGTGTTATTTTAACAGCAGAATTGGTGTTAAAATAACACGCAACAAATTTTACCCTAAATCTGGGTTAAATCTTATGGGTTTTAGCATTGGAGAAAATTATCCGCAACAAAAATAACATTAGCTTTTTTCTGTGTAAAATAATGATAAAATAATAATAAATGAAGTAATAAATTAACTTAATGTCAAAGAAAAGAAAAATGAGAGATGAGGAAATTTTCTGCGTAATATAGATAAATTGAGAAAATTTTCCCTTCTCATTGTATAATAGTGAATTTCAATAAAGTATGATAATGTAGTAATTGGAAAATTTTTTTTTGTGACTTTCAACAGCAGTGATGATATGCGGGGGACTCGTGATGTACCCGATTGGATGGGATAACCGAGAAGTCAGAGAATCCTGCGGCAGATCCGCAAATGTCTACAATCTTGGTAAGTACTCGAAACCCAGTTGCAACTTAAATGACAGATTTAATGGGGCCCCTCTCGACGACGACGACGACGACTACGACGAGAGTTCTCATTCCAATGACGACATCCAAGTAACCGTCTGGTCTGTCGGTTTAAACGTTCCACAAACGGCTGCGTAAACGACGCCTTCAGTCGTTACCATATTTTCCAATGTGAACCCTTTCACTGTTGAACCTTTAGTTTCTCTCTTTTTATCATCATTTTATTTCTTTCTCTTTACCCTCTCCTTTTTCCTCTTTCTCTCATTTTTTTTTTCTTTTTTCCCCTTTCTCGAACTATTCGCGTCCCATCTTACACTTTATCAACGAAAATAACGCGTTTTGCTCACGAAGCTGAACAGAATGTTGAACGAAATTTGAATTTGCCTCCCTTCATGCTCTTTATAAACAGGGAATATTGGTTATTTTCAAAGTAAAGAAAATAAATGCGGTTGGAAATAAAAAAATTTTTTGATTTTTTTCAATTAATAATGTTTTCTAAAATGAGAAAAAAAAATTGTAATTTAATTTTACTTTTTTCGAAAAAAAAATGAATATATAAATACCATGAAGAAAAATGTATGAGCTCTTGACCGTGTTGAAAGAAATATTTAAAGTACGTGAGGCTTGTCGTGATTTTATGCTCGGATGTGCTCGAGCGAAAATGTTGCCGTATATATAAATTATATTTTGTATGCAATTTTCTTTTTTTTTTTTGAACATAAATATATAGCGAAATTCTCAGAATTTTTCGGAATAATAAAAAATCAAATAAAAAATCTATTTTTTATTTAATTAAATAGTTTCTAATGATGAATTTTTAAATTTGAAACTTGAAAAAAAATTTGTTTGATTAAAAAAAATTGGTTACTTGTAAAATAAATATTTACTTAGTCCAAATAATTTTTATTTGAACTGTATTTGAACCAATAATTTATGTATTTGAAAAATATTAACATTTAATTGACACAAATGATTATTAATAATCAGTGTTTGGATTTCATATAGTATTTTAAATATTTCAAATTTTAAGTCTACAATCCAAAGTAATTTTTTTATAAAAAATTTTTTTATCCAAAAATAATAACTTAATAAAATTACTTAATTAATTAATTAATAATTACTTAAAATAAATTAATTACTTAATAAAAATAAATATTTATTTGATAATAGTCAAGTAACCGATTTATTTGAATCAATTAAATTTTTTATTTCAGTGTATTAATCTCTTAATTTAATACACCCAGAGAAATGTTTTATTTGAACCAAATATAATATATTTGAGTTAAATAAACGTATATTTGACTCAAATCCAACTAGCCTATTTATTTGGCGTAAATAAAAATTTAACTGAATCAAATAAATATTTATTAGGCTGTGAGATAAATATATCATTTCTCTGGGTATAATAAAAAAATTAAAAAAAATTCCTACTGTAGTACTTTAAATAAGAATATTTTTGTTTTAAAAAAATAGTGTCAAATGTAAATTTTCTTTTGAATACAAGTATATTTTTCTTAATCTGGGTAAAAAAATCTAAATCTGTGTTGTTCAAGTACGACAAATTTTTAAAAAAATCGAAGTTACACACAGAGAAATGATAATATTTGTCTTAGAGCCAAATAAATATTTATTATTTTGTTTCAAATAAATTTTATTTACGCAAAATAAAATTTTATTTGTTAAAAATTAATTATATTTGCGCTAAAAAGAATTTTATTTTATTTAAATAAAATTGTTATTAATGACAAATAAAATTTTTATTTACGCCAAATAAATGAGCTAGATGGCTCTGAGACAAATATACTCAAATATATTATATTTGGTTCAAATAAATTATGGGTATAGGTACCTGGGTGTATTTTTGTGAATTTTTACACGGAAAAAAATAAAAAAACGAATAAAGTAACTTTTACTACTTTAAAAATAAAACCGGAACTGTCCGCAGATTTCTGAACTTTTCTGGAAAATTTTACTCCAGAAATAGTAAAATTTATTATTTCCGGAATAATTTCTACTATTTTAGGAGTAAATTTGACTATTTCTGGAGTAAAAATTGCTAGAAATGCGCAGAAACAGCGGTCAGTTCAGGCTTTACTTTTAAAGTAGTATAAGTTACTTTATTCGATTTTCCATTTTTCTCCGTGTACTACATTTTCATTATCTTTTTTTTTAAACTCTGACTTTGAAAATAAATAAATAAATATTAATAATAAAAAAAGAGAGAAAAAACGTGACATTTGATGAAAAAAAGGAGAGAGAGAGAGAGAATTCCGTTTTCGTCTCTGCGTAATTATACATGGTATATTTTATTGAAGTAAAATGATAAGAGTTAAGTGTAGAAGGATACTTTGAATATCTTCTTTGTATGGGCTTAAGTGTGGAAGCATCTGTGAGAGAGCATTGAATCCCCCTTCATTCTATATCTCTCTCTCTCTTTCTCTTTCTCTCATGACTGCTCTTTGAATTGGCAAGTAGTTCGAGTGGCGCGGGAGCTTATTTTTCTCTTTTGTTTCAGGAAAGTGCTCGGTATCTTGGTCGAGTCATCTCATGGTTGGTTCTGTGGCTTTACTCATGCTGTGCTTTGCACTGAGTTTCTGTGCTGCTCGACATAAGCCGTCTCATCCACACTCGGATCCCCTGCGCATTTGACAATCAAGGTATTCACAATCGATTCACGCGTACTCATCACCCAAGACAACTACCCTCTCATTCGTGACAGTCTGTTGATCCAAAGGAACGACGACACTTTCTTCCAACTATATTTTCCCAAAAAAAAAAAAAAAAAAATGAAAATAAACTCTCCACAAAAGCGGATTAAGAAATACGAATTTCGAATATTTTTTTCGAAAAATTCAAAACGTAAAACAAGAATAACAAAAATATTCTCATTGTGAGAATATTTCGAAAAATTCGAAATGTAAAACGAGAATAACGGAAATATTCTTATTGTGTGTGTGAGAGAGAGAGAAAGAGAGAAGCGTCACACGCGGATTAGATTGCATAATTAGCATCTGACCAAAATGCGATTCAATTTAATCGCCGCGACTATGCTGTAAAAAAAATTTATTTCATTCAAATAATCGACTATTTTCAAATATATATTTCTCTGTATTAAATAATTTGTATTAAATAATTATTATTTAATTAAATATTAATTATATAATACAAATAAAAATTGTATTTGCTTCAAATACACGCATAGAGAAATGATATATCTGTCTCACAGATAGTAGGCTGTGAAACAAATATAAGTTTATTTAACTCAAGTATATTATATTTGGTACAAATAAAACATTTCTCTGGGTGTACAGAAATTATTGTTTCAAATACAGTTTATTTAATTCAATTATTTGGTTTCAAAAATTATTTTCCAAATATTTATTTGCATAATAGTCGATTATTTGAACGAAATAAATTTATTTTTCAGTGATAAAATCAATACATCAGTATATCGATTGTAAATCAATGAAAAAAAATTCATTAGTTATGAATTAATTATCACTGCAAAAACGGGTGTCTTATTTTAAGACATAATAAGACACTTAGGCAACTTTTTAAAATTGTTTCCACTTTTTTTTTATTGATCTAAGACAATTGCTCGAATTCTAAGACATTACAAAATGTCTTTAAAATCAAGACAAGTGTCTTAAAATAAAACATCCGTTTTGTTGTATTCGAAACAAAAAATCATTTCCTCAATTGAAATAAAAAAAAAAACACAAAGTGATGGTTATCTTTGAATGTTGTATAGATTTTTTAAAATAGAACGAATTTTTGAAAAAAAAAGCATTTATATTAAAATATGTTTGCAAAAACCGAAACTCACAGTGGCTGCTCGTAAAACAGAAATAAAAATAAAAACTTATTAGTTATATTTTTAAATAAAAATAATTTTTAATTTTTTTTTCTTAAATTTATAAATATTATATTTCAATTTTAATATTACTAAAAACATTATATTATTCAATATTGTGAAAATATTCACAATTTTTTTTCTCCATAATATAATATTTCAACGGGAAATTTTTTTTTTCCATTTTTTTCTCTATTAAAGTTTAAATTAAAAAATATCGACAACAATGAAAGAAAAATTCCAACCATGATTTTTTCCTTGTTTTAAATCTAGTGCGCACGCTAGAAATAACAATCTACAAGGAATCAAGTATAACATTTTGTTTGTGTAATATTCTGGCAAAATAGAAGCAATTTCACAGATTGCCCGAAGCAACAGGAAGTGATTTTATTGAAAAGAATTCCACCAAGGTAAATAACTATATGATATCTACGCGAAAAAATTCTACCATAAATATTTTTTTCCTTATAAAAAAAATAATAATAATAAAAAAAATATTATTTAAATATATTTCAAATAATATGAAAAAATTTGTTTTTATAATAAAAAAAAGAAATAATTCCCTTTTTCTATATATATGAGTTCATGATAAAAGTTTGATTTCAAAGAAAATTCAGTTTTCGTGCTGACTCGAACCACACGACTTTTTTATTGCAATATGGATATCTAACACGTCGACATGCTGACGTAAATCACATATATGTGAAATTTTTTTTTACCCCCGCGCATATATAGCAAAAGTTTCTACATTTTTGGTAGAAATATCACACGATTAAATATACATTCCTTTATATATTTTTTTTAATAATTGTTTTTTTATATTCATTTTGTAAAATGTGCCGCGACACACATACACACACACACTGCAAAAACTAAATATCAAGATTTATAATCAGATTATAACAGAGGCAACATATTTTCTATCAGTGATATGAATATAAAACTATCTTTTTTTATTTTTTTTTTTATACCTCAAAATATATACCAGGGCGCCAAAGGATGAGATTTTAAATAAAATTTTCTAACATTTTCTCATAAATTTTTAAATTGATCATACTTTTTAAATATTATAAGAAAAAAATGATGCAAAATTTATCGATTTAAAAAATCGTTCTGTATTAATAAACAATGTTTAAAAAAATACAACAAATTATTGAAATTCAATTTTTTTTCTTATTTAGTAAAAAATTTGTTTAAAGCAAACAAAAATTTTGGTTAAATGAACCAAATAAATATACACCTAGAGAAAAGATATATTTGTCTTAGAGCTAAATAAATATTTGTTTCAAAAAAAAAATTTATTTGAGATAAATAAAATTCATTTATTTAAAACAAATAAAAAGTTATTAGACCCGGAATCAAATACATTTTTATTTGATTCAAATAAACCGGGCGTGTTACTATACACTGAAAAAAATGTATTTGATTCCAAAAAAATCAGTTACTTGTTGTCAAATAAATATTTACTAGAACCAAATAATTTTTATTTGAATTAAATAAATTGTATTTAAACCAGTAATTTCTGTATTTGAAATACCGCTTAATTGATTCAAATATTAATTCAATAAATATTTATTTGATAATAGTCAAGTAAACAATTATTTAAATAACAAATTTTTTTTTCCTTGTACAGTTAATAAAGCTTTTAAATGAATTAACCAAAAGTTTATTTGCTTCATTCACCCAGATAAATGTTTTATTAGAACCAAATATAATATATTTGAGTTAAATAAACGTACATTTGTCTCACAGCCTACTATCCTATATTTATTTGGCGTAAATAATTTTTTTTATTTAAATCAAATAAAAATTTATTTGAATCAAATAAATATTTATTAGGCTGTGACACAAATAAATCATTTCTCTGGGTGTTCAAACTGTTTCTTCAATTTGAAAATTTTTTTAAATAAACCAAACTATTTAAATCAAATAAATATTCACTTGAATCAAAAAAATTGTAAAAATTATTATTAAGTTTTTAATTATCAGATTCGAAATCATTTTCCCTACTGTTGGATTTTGAAGAAAGTTTCTATAGTGACAATAACAAAAAAAAAAAAAAAAAAAAAATTAAAAAGCAAGGCAATTATCAAAGTTGGTGAATTATTCATGATTGACGATAATTGGGAGCAAGAGAGTGACAATATATAATGATCTCGTTAACACTCTTTCCAATATTCTAACAACAACAAAAAATCCGTTTTTTTTCAAAAACATATTGTTAACTCACAATTCTCGTTTTGGCAATTAGTTGCTCTCTCCCCCCCCTCTCACCCCTTTACGGAACTGGTCTTGACTAATTGAGACATCCAGCACGTGCACTACAACTGGAACACGTGCCTCTACCAGGGGCCATTCTTCTCGTTCTTAGACGTGTGCGGTATGCGCAATTTATGTCACGGAATATCGATATCTAATGTGTGCGCGCCACAAAAGCACGTTCTCTTATCTCATGAGATCATAAATACCGGAGAAATTACATTCATCTTATAATATCCAAATTGTAATTAATTATAAAAATATTCAATTAAAATTTAAAAAAAAATTTAAGACAGATTTCCGTTTTAGAATGCAAAAAATAGGTATACAGTTTTACTATTTTACATTAAGGTAAAAATTTTTGAAAACTAAAAATATAAAAAATACCGACACTGAAATCTACCTTACCGACTGATGGTAAAACATATTTTTGGAAAATAAATATATAAAAAATTACCGACATAGAAATCTACCTTGCCGACTGATGGTAAGGTAGATTTCTATGTCGGTAATTTTGTATGTCCATTTTCTCAAGAAAATTTCTTTACTATCAGTCGGTAAGGTAGATTTCTAGGTCGGTAATTTATTAATTTTTAATTTTTCAAAATTGTTTACCATCTTGTTAATTGTTTAACCATCTACAGTGAAACTGACGTATATCGGATTTCAAGGGACCTGAAAAAAATCCGATGTAAGCGGGAATCCGAATAATGCGGGTCCGTTATACTTGTGTTTCACTGTATTAACTTACAAAGGACGCAAAAGTCAGAATGTACAACAAATGACCAAACAAATAACTTGCAGAAAGATTTCGGTGCCAATTTTTGAAATTGACAGATCACAAATTTTCTTCATAATACAACTGATTGGTTAATTATGAAATCAATAGTTTTTTTCGGTCATTTCCAAATGCAGACAAATGTAAATTCAGCGTTTTAAAAATTCTATCAAATATAAAAATTTGTGCAAATAAATATTCGAAAAAATTAATATATTTGATGAATTGGAAATTCAAAAATTTCAAGATAAAATTCGATTGAATAAGAGTTTTGCTAAATATTAAAATTCGATGAAATTAAAATTATTTTATATCATAATTTGTTTATAGAGAAATTGTGTAAAATAAAAATTTTGCCTAAAATTACCTAAAAATTAAAAAAAAGTGTTTCTTTTACTTAAAATATTTTTTAAAAGTAAATTTTTTTAAATTTAGAATAAAAATAAGTTAGAAAAAAATAGTAAAGCCGTGCCTATTTTTCGCGTTCTAAAATGAACTGTGTTAATTTGTCAAAAAGGGTATTAAACGTTTTATTACAAAAATATTAAATTATAATTAAATATTTTTTTTTAATTTGTCAAGAAGGGTGTTAAACGCTTCGACAGTTACAAAACGAGGGTTGTAAGACTTCAAAATGTGTTATATTGCAAAGAGAGAGAGAGAGAGAGAGAGAGAGAGAGAGAGAACGAAAAGTTCGCGTAAGGAGATATATATGTATATATAGTGAAAGGATTAAAGGCGTGAAGTTTCGAGTAACATGACCTTCAATTAAATATTCGTGTGCCATCTTGAAACTTTGTAATTTCACTTCGATGTGAAACTCGTTGAAAGTAGTTCCCCCAACGATTTCAAGCGAAACGTGAAACGAACGTGAAATTGCGATCACTCGTTCCTTCTCTCTCTATATATATGTTCAATCGAAAATATATATAGAAAATACATGTAACGAAACAACGCCGAAAAGTACGAAAACCGAATAGAAGTGACTCTATAGGCCAACGAATTTAACAGAACAAATAAAACAATTCTATTTTCATGGTTGAATTTAATTAAAATATTTCAATTTTCCAGTTAAATTAGCAGAAAAAGTAGATACTATAATTATAATAAAGTTTTAAGCACACACTGTGAGTTTCATCTTTTGACATAAATATATATATATGTATAATATACTGAAATGTTAAGAATCACACATTTGTAGTTTGAGAGCCTCATAAAAAAGAGATACCAACATTCAAGTATATATATATAGATATATATTATAATATGGCTACAGAATGGGCATTCACGATTTTACCAGATGTTACGCGCGCAGAAGCTGTGGCAAA